AGACAAATCAATCACGAATCGATTAGCACATAGACAATACGTCACCGAACAAGTCTATTCTTAACGAGCCTAGGTCGAACGATTTCTCCCCTTTCGGTTTCAAAATCGATTAATTAGATTGAGATGGTGATCAAACATCTAAACCCTAGGTTAAGCACAACTCGAAAAGATTGAGCAAATTAATCAAACACATAAATGAAATCGAACCAGAACGATGATCCCCTAACCCTAGCTAATGAATTTAGCTACTCATTGCAATATTAACACAAGAATTCATAGCAATCCAAGCACAAAACATCATAATGAAATGAGAAAAGATGCTTACGATTGATAAGAAAAACCAATGTCGAGAGAAACAACGAGCAATCCAAGATCCAAAGCTAGAAAAGGAGTTTTTATGCTCCAAAATCCAATCCAAGATCAAAGTAAGAGAAAGAAATGTTCTAGAGATGAAAAAACTGTAAAAAACGAAGTCTGGGCCCCTTCAAAAGTGAAGAAAACGCGATCCTTAAGCCTCCCAATTCGAAATTCCGAGAAAATAGCTTCAGTTACAAAATGGGGCATAGCGGCGCTATGACCATAGCGCCGCTATGGTTGAAGACAGTCAAGCCTCAGCCCCTCGCTATGCATGCAGCGCCGCTTTCAGGGTTGGCCATAGCGCCGCTATGGCCATAGCGGCGCTATGGCCTGGGCAGCTTCCAAAATCTTCAAGTTTCGAACTCATGAGCTCTCGTCTCGCATTTCTCCGGTACTGCTCGAGCTATAAACTCAAACCAATGTATAACTCCTAGGAGCCGGACCTGAATACCGCTATCATCATCTGAACCTGAAACCACCACAACCAGAAAAACACGAAAAACAAGAAAATAGGAGGAAAAACAAAGAAAATACTAAACACGGCATAATAAAGATAAAAACACAAGAAACGACTAAATGGACCAAAAATACCTAGGAAAAGACCTAAAATAGGGGAAATGACACACAAAATAGCAACGAGAATAGCAACAAAAACGGGACAAACAAATTCTCCCAATTCTGAATCGAGTTTTCTTGGTATCTAAACCACAAAGGAGAAATAGGCGGTAATGTAAAATCATGATACACATTCAGACGGATGTAGTGTTTATAAGCATCAAGATGACCAATGAAAATCTCACGCTCTATTAGTGTAGCCGTTGATGGTGCATTAAGCGGCAATATAGTGGCACTAAAAGTGCCGACATTGTTACCACTAGGACCAGAGCCGCACAAAATGACAACTGCATTAAACAATGTAGCAATAGGGAATAGGTCGCATAGGGCTTCTATCCAGTGCTCATCGCCACAAGGGCCGCCGCCTCATCTTATTCGTCTGAGTGCGACATCGAGTTCCCTAAAATATAGGCGCTCGTACAAGGTAGGGTGGTTAGCAACCTCATGTGCAATGTTGGCTCTTGCCAATCGCCACATCTCTTGGTTCCTATACAAAAAACTCGCTACTACTTGAAATCAGTAGTTTTCATCCGTTATCACATCCAGGTAGCTTTGTATGTACTATAAAATTAGCCACGAAATTCTTCCCAGTAACAGAGAGTAAATATATCTGTCTGCATAGTCTCTGTAATACCATTATAATGTCACGTCACAATTTATATAATAATTTAATTTAATTAACCTTGAGATAAAACAAAAAAAAAATGTCACCTTTTGTCTCTTGTTAAGGGAGAGAAGACGAACTTGTCGGGCCACGTGAAGAACTGCTTGTACGGCAAACCGGACGATCTCTTTCTCTGTACTCCCATTTAGATGGTGCACGGTTTGTTGAATTTGGTTTTTTGGGACGACCTCTCGTATGTTCCTTCACCTGAGGTTCTGTATAACCTTTTTGATCAGGTTAAAGGTAAGCGTACATGAGGTGATTCACGTTCCGCATCGTCACAGAATCGCCTGCTTCAACCTCGCTGAAAGCCGCCGAAAAAAAGTAGGATCTGCCCAGCCACTCTGGTTGTCCTGGCTCTGGTCACTTGTCCCTAAAAGTATAAGATAAAAAATTTAAAGAATTAAATAACATAATATATTATGTACATGAAGTGTAATTAAAAATGAAAGTGTAATTAAAAATGAAACAAACAGTAGATAATTCTAAATGAAACATGAACTTTAAATTACCCTACTCTAACACCTCTAGTGTGCTCCAGAACTGGTGTGTGCTTTCGACAGTAATCGATTCTTCAGAAGTATGTGTCATACGAAGCAGACATGCAAAGGGGATTCCGTGAGTGTATCTCAATGCAAATCTGCATCGCCATTGAACATCCTCGCTCAAGTTTCTCATCCGCTTCAGTTCAACATTCAATACATTTAGACAGTGATGCGAGACATGCAATGACAAGTACGGGAACGGGAATCCTGTATACTACACACCCTTCCTAAGTCTCGAAGACTCCAGCGTATGCCTAGTAACACATTACATAACATTAGACACACTGAAAAATATAAGTAATGTAGTAAATATATGTACCTTAAGTAATGTACCTGATTTCAGTATGTTGATACTCTATCTCCTTATTAATCTTCTCCCACACTGTATCGAGTGTACTGGTCGATGTGTTAAGCCTGGACTTCAACACAGCGTGGGCACTCTCTACCCTACACGAAGTTGTGTTACCAAAATGTGATACATAATTCGTCCACGCTTTCACAAATTTCTCCTTGTGGACTAACCATGTTTGCTCGACATATATGTAACACTTGTGGAACCTTCCCATATTTTGCATACATCTCAGCAACGACATTGTTGTATTCATCCACTGTACTTGCTTCAACAATCGCCTTCCACCTACCATGTGTGAACTTCTGAGCGTACAACTTATTTTTTTCCAAAGAGTCGATAGACTCTGTCTTCCACATTCTTGTTGATGTGCCACGTGCAAAGTAAGTGGGCAGCTTTGGAAAAATTTCTTTGGATAGGAGTAATCAAGCCCAACTCCCTGTCAGTGACAATGGTAGTAGGATGTACCTCATACACTATCACAAGTCTCAACTTCTGTAGAGCCCAATCATAATTGTTCTCACTCTGCAATTAAGAAATTTTTGTCGCACGGCGTTATCCCAATCATTTCCACCAACGGCATCCGATACCTGTGCAAATCAGAGCAACAAGGGAAAACATCAAATCATAAAACATAATCAAACATACTAATTACGATTCATACTAATTTGTTACTTATAAAATAACGTACATGTTTGTTTTGTACGTCAAATCTATACTGACGTACCCATAATATGTTCAGAATAGACTGACTGATTGAGGATGCGCCAAACGTGTCAACGTCTATGTGTCCCGATCGACATCTGTATAAACTACATAATTATTTTTCCTAGCCAAATGCAGAAGTTGAGAAGTCACGTCTCTACCATCGAAACTATCTCCCTATAATTTCTCTCTATAGTTATACACATGTCAGCGAGTGGCATTGTCTACCGGGTTTTTTTTCCTGGACCGCAGCTAAAATTTGTGTCAGTTTTGCCTGAGCAACAATTATATACGAACAATCTACTTAGATGAAGCGCTAAGTCTACTCACCTGTCAATGACCCTCGGGATACACAACAAGTTAATGATTATGCTTTCCCTTCTTAGCATCAGAACTTACACGGACACTACAATATGCTTTTGTTTTTGCGTCGAGTTTGACTTTTATCTCAAAAGGGCACTGACACGCTTTGGTTTTTGTACGTCGGAAACAACCTGATCTACATCTCGTACTTTACCTCTATAACATTCCCCTCGCATACACTTCAAAACATTCACCTTTCCTCCTTTTGTATGTTTTGAAATAACCAATCTGAAACCATAATAAGTGCAATATCTTTTGCCCACTGAATAGCTTCGAAATCAGTAATAAATTGCATCTCCGTAACGAAACCAACAATGTAATCAACATTTTCTCCTCCAAAATCTTTCAATGACACCTGCAATATAATACGGTGTTCATAATTTAAAAGATAATAAATTATAATCTATAATATAATAATCTCTAACTTCTAACATGATATTAATAAATTTTAATTATAAAATAATCAATTCTAACTTCTAACATAATGATTTCTAACTTTTAACATGATATTAATAAATTCTAGTTATATAAGATAATCAGTTCTAACCTATAACATAATAATTTATAACATAGTTCTAACATAATAATCTCTAACTTCTAACATTAAATTAATAAATTTTAATTATAAGATAATTTATTCTAACTTATAACATAATAATTTCTAATCTATAAGACAATAGATTCTAATATATAACATAATAATTTCTAACTTACCTCTAACATAATAATTTCTAACTTCTAACATCATATTAATAAAATTAATTCTAACTTATAACATAATTAATTTACAATATATAAAAATTAAATAATCTAATTTCTAAATTTTTCACAAAAAATTAATAAAAAGTCATTAAAATAATTAAAAAATATTAATAATATGTTGTCCGGTCGGACAAACCAGACGGACAAGGTGTTGTCCGACCGGTGAACGCGGACAGCACTGGAGTCATCCGGCTGGCCTGTTAGGACACGCATGGTCGCATCCGGTCGGTGAAGACGGGCGCACATGAGCTTGTCCGAACAGGCCGGCCGGACAGCACCATGCGTGTGTGCAAAAGCCGGTCGGACAGCACCATGTTCAAACGCAATTTTCGGTCGGACAGCCGAAAGACGAACCTCGCTCGAAGACATTTTTTCGCCGAAAATCATCTGGTCTAGAGGATTTTACAATTTTTTAAGTTTTGAAAATATGATAAAGGGCAAAATGGTCTGGGCGTTAGCGCATCGATATACTTATGTGACTGGTGGGAACAAAAAGTTAGAGAAAAGGGTAAAACAAAAGATGAATACAGGCATTCACTCGCTGTCTTTCACTACAATAACTTGTTCCATTATTTCCAGCTCACACTTTACAAACACACACACACACACACACACACAAACACAGAGAAGAGGAGAAGAAATGGGTATCCCAATCTGCTCCTCCAATTCCAATCGCTTTACCCATTTACTCTTATGCATCCTCCTCTTCTCTCTCTACCCTTTCCCCATTTCCTCCATTAACGTCACTCAGCTCCTCTCCCCCATTTTCTCCGATTTCAACTCTCTCCTCACCACCACCGCCCTCGCCGCCGATCTCTCCGCCCGCTCCCCCCTTACCCTTCTCGCCGTCCCCAACGACCGCATCCGCTCCTCCCCTTCCTCCGCCCTCCTCCCTGACGTCCTCCGCTACCACGTCTTGCTCGACCGGCTCACCCCCTCCGACCTCCGCCGCCTCCCGCCCACGGGAAAACTCGTCACCACCCTTTTCCAGACAACCGGCCGCGCCATCGACAACTCCGGCTCCGTCAACATCTCCCACGACCCGGCCTCCGACACCGTCACATTCCGCTCCCTCGCCTCCAACTCCAGCGCCACGCTGCTCTCACTGAACGAAACCCTAGTTGTCGACGGCAACGTCTCCGTCCTTCCCATCAGCTCCCTCCTCATCCCCAGCAGCCTTGATCTCATGGCCTCCGAGACCCGGCCCCCGCTGGGCCTCAACATCACCCAGGAGCTCATCGACGGTCACAACTTCAACGTGGCGGCAGCGATGTTCACTGCCTCGGGGGTTGTCTCGGAGTTCGGGGCCGATATGGCCGGTGCCGGCATAACCCTGTTCGCCCCTACCGATACGGCTTTCGCGGATCTGCCCTCCTCCGTCAGGTTCCAGTCGCTGACCGCCGATCAGAAGGCCATCGTGCTCAAATTCCACGTCCTCCACTCTTACTATCCTCTGGGGACCCTCGAATCCATTGTAAACCCTACTTACCCAACTCTGGCCACCGAACAGAACGGTGCAGGTCGGTTCACAGTCAACATCTCCCGCCTCAATGGCTCAGTAGCCATCGACACCGGGTTAGTGCTGGCAACAATTACGCAGACGGTTTTTGACCAGAATCCGGTGGCCATATTTGGGGTGTCCAAAGTTTTGCTTCCTAGAGAGTATTTTGGGGGCAGTGGGATAATTCCCGGTGCCCCGCCACCGGACATTGCCGCATCCTCACTGGATAATGCTCCCGGCCCCTCGTCTCATTTGCAAGTACCACCCCTGCCCGGGCAGACTTCGGGGGCATTGAGAGCATTTATGGCCTGCTGGTGTGTGATATTCTGCTATGTGTTGTTGCTATAGCTTGATTATTGGTTTGTTGAGATGGGATTTCTATGGAATCTTTTTTGTGGCATTTGAGAACCGAATCTATCTTACAAGAGAGAAAAGAAGGCAACCATTGTCCTACTGGGATTCCTTATAAGGTAAAGGGGGATAAATTGGTCAGATATGGTTCATTTATCGGCAAACCATATGGAGGTTCGAATACATCTATTTTGAATTGTTCTGTGATCATAATTCTATATGGAGGTTCGGATACATCTATTTTGAATTGTTCTGTGATCATAATTCTCGGGGATACGCATAATTCTTTTGTTGTAAAGAAATCTCAAGTTTCACCATTTATTTTTTTGTGTAATTTAATGAGCTTTGAAGGAAGTGTGAGTAACTTTTTGTTGTCCCATTGGCTACTCTGGAAAGGCTGAGAGCTTAATTATGTGTGGTGTCTGCATCTTAAGACTTTCTGCTGAAAGCTTGGTGGCTGGCTTTTGAATGTTGCTTGATTCATGCAAGAAGTGGTGCAAAGTTAGTATTAAAATGCATATTTCTCCAGTTTGTCATAAGTAATAAAGTTGTGTAAGAGATTCCAGTTCTTGCATAATTTTTTGTTATTAGTCCAGTTGTAAGAAGCTGCCTTTCATTATGTGATCTCGTTGCATGGTTGTCTGTCATTCTTTTTTACACTGTCTTATTTTGCTGTTGTAAGAGATGTTCCCCTACCTTTAATACTATTGACAGCCTCCACGGAATCACAATGCATTATTGAGATAATATTGAACAAGGTAGATTGTAGTGAATGATATTACCTGAATCTAAGGGCAAAAAATTGGACAGGAGGAATGGGAGGAGCAAATTCCAAATCCTACTTAGGTTGGGATCCTATTATGGCAAGTCTGTTCTTCATTGATGGAATGAGATTGGGATTTTCTGTTTGCATTTGTTTACTTTGATTGTTGGAGATGGTTATTAATTTTTATAGCATTATGTCCCGATTTGTTTTCCATGAAATGGTTCGATAAAAGGTTCGATTGTCCAAGTTGATCGTCACAATTTGTAGGCAGTTTTGATAAAATGGATTTTGTAACAGGCAAGTAATAGTAGGTTAAAATGGTTGCGGGGGTTGAATGTGAAAATGCTGATAATGCAGGAATTTGCCTATTCAACTTATGTACCTGTGCAGTGCTCTCTGTGCCCCATCATTTGCAACGGGGCCGTTAATGGTTTGCTCAAATGTATAGTTGGATTCTAAATTGCGAGGAGAAATCTTGATACGGTAAATATGTATTTATGCTCTTGAATTAGAGACTATTATGAGGTGTGTGTGTGTGTGTGTGTGTGTGTGTGTGTGTGTGTGTGTGTTTTTCTTAGGGTTTGGGAAAACCTCTTTATAGGTGTAGGAAAGAGTCCTGGAGAAAGATGTTTCATGATTTTGTATCATTTCTTTCAATATCTTGATTTTCTTTCTCTTATGAGCAAGAATTATTTTATTAATTAAATTTTTTATTTTTCTTGAATATATGTCCAAAAATAAATAGAAATAATAATTAATAAAATATTAGAATTTTGATGTTTACAAATTACACTTGTTCGCAGACAAATGGCCAAGCTTTTTGGAAGAAAGAAGTTACCTCTTTGATCAAATTAATTAAATGTTCATTTCCCTACTAATATTAGGAGAAATTCCTTCTAAACAACAAAGATATTCTTCAGGATTAGAGTATCTAAAGATACTCAACCAACATGAGTGTTGAGTTAATGAATATATGTGTACAGTTATTTATATCTAATATCAAACTTAACTCCAGAGCAAAAATAATATAAAAACAATATCACGAAGCATAGACCTGCCACCTAAGTTCAACACGTTTTGGATTAATATATAGGGAGAGATTACTAAAGGAGTCCGTCGGCTCATTCAGAATCTCTTTATTGTTTTACTGTTGTCTTCACTTTGCGCAACTATGTTATACTCTATCATACCCCCACAATTTCATACTTCTTCATTTCTTGGTCAGTGCCTCAACTTGCTTGTCTTACTGTTCTAAAATTAGAATATTTTGCCTAAATTGCAATTAAAGGCAGTAATTTGTTTTGCAAATAAGCATTTTAATTTTGCAGTTGTGCTCCCTTGTCCACCTTGGACACATGATAATATGTTGATCAACTGATGTAGCGAAAGATTATCATACCATACACAGTGGGAATATTACTGAAAGATAATATGAAATTGCACCATACAAAGTGATACTTATAGCTGAAAGACAATGTGAAATTGACACGGGATTATGGGTACAACTTAATATGTTACATTTAATTTTGTATGTTGTACAGATCCTAAAAAAAAATGATATATTGTATATAAAAATAATCTAAAATGAAAAGGTCATTGAAGAAATAATTCAACAATTTTCTCATGCAGTAAATATATTTAGAGAATTGTGCAGATGCAGTAAGGAAATTTGGCTAATTATTAATTAGATGTATTGATAGAGTTCATTTTCTTTAATAATATCCACCGATTCTCTTTGTAATTATGGTTCCACAAGTTCTGATTTATTCAATTGTCATCAATAGATAAAGGTACAAGATGCAACTCCATGAAACCTTTTAATTCTGTGTTGCATGGAACAATTTGTATTGGAAATATGCAAGTTCTAAGAAGTACCTCAATCTTATGTTGGGCAGAGACTGTGAATTTCACATACTCAACTACTTTCTGCTCGACCGCTCGACTCTAACACAGACTAGGCTTAGTTTCTAAGTATCTCTTGGATTCTTACCATATGTTATAGTAGTCGGGATTACACGGAACATATCAGTTCTATAGCTCTAAACGCACAACTTTTTTTCCAAACACGAGAAACAGTACTTATCTCACATGAGGATTCTTTTGATGGCTCAAGATCAACACAACTTGCTCTTTCATTTCATAACCTTTGTATGGCCTCAACCTATTGCAATATCACTATCAAAAGATTGACAACCCCTAGAGTCCATTGAAGCCTTGAGATTTCAAAGCCAAATAAGAGAGTTCAGTTAATAATTGAATTACACACAATGCATCTCTCATGAATTGAAAGGGGGCAAAAAACTACTACTACTACTACTACTACTATTGAGAGCAATTTTGAGAAGGCAGTTCCGAACCTCAATACAATTGACAAATTTTGGCAGTTAAGAAACCTGAGTTACAAGGATGTCGGAAAATAAATGCAGATTCACCCAACAAAAGAACTAGTCAACTTTCTCTTTTTCAGTCTGAGCATTTGGAGACACCTCATAAAAAACACAAATTTGAAGTTTCCATGTTGACAGGCTCGCTTGCCCACCATTCAACAACTAAGAGCTGAATGCTTGAACATATCTAACGATTTAAACAAACTCCTACATTCAATTATTTACCATGAGGATGATTTGGTCAAAAGATTTTCAATAAGAGAGAAGACCCATCTTGAAATTGGTAACCAGGCGCAATGCTCTCACCACCATGGCCGCCCTTTACCTCCAATTCGCCTGGCCAGCTCGAAATCCTTTTTCACTGAGAAAAACGAAAAGCTCTTAAAAATTAGGAATCAAGTAAAGAGTTATTCAAAATAACAGTTCTCCTTAGTTGAAAAAAGGTTGGTAAAAAATAAATAAGTAGATGTGAATCCAGCTTAATTAAGCACATTCTTTCTCGTATGACTGCAAAACTGTATCTCTCTCTCTCTAAAAGCAAAGCATGAAACGAATAGTCCATAAAGTCAAAAAGAGTAATGAATATGACATGAAGTCTGCTGAAAGAAGACTTGAAGCATCTGTATCACATATATGCGTAAAGATTAAACAAAATCAGTGAGATGACAGGTTGAAGAACTTGTGGTAGACTCGAGAACTTACTCAAAGTCACACGCTTTGCATGAATGGCACACAGATTTGCCTCCTCAAACAACTCAACTATGTAATCTTCAGCAGCCTAGGACAGTAGAGAGAAGGAGAATAGTGAGACTGGAAAAATCCACAACAAATAGTATTTTGCACTTGGAATCATTATTCACGAGACAAGAAATCCTAAAAGCTGATATGTTCTGAAAACATATTGATGTAACAGTAAAAGTAAGAAAAGATTTCATTTTAGCTGTAATTCATTTGATGACCTGTTTAATGACAACCATTACTTCACAATCACTTGGTCATGCAAAACTAAAATCAGGACATAAGTATGACCTGCACATAATTTAAAACGCATAAACACCACATATTTATTTGAGTCGAGTGGTTCATCAAAGTTTGCTCATTAGGAATATATCACTGGATAAAAATTATGACCATACAAGAAGACATTCATGAAGATCTTCAACAAAGTTAGGAATACAAATGACTCAAGTTAGATGTTAACATTCACTAATTCTTTTTTGCTTACAAATCATTATCAATCGAATCACTAACACAATATGTTTGAGGATGTTACGACCTTCCAGTGGGGACGACTTTCCAGTGGGCCTAGTGTAAGTTATAAGGCAGAAAAGAACAAGACATTCAAAAAAATGTCACTAACTCACATCTAAAATGCAACGACATACAACAGAAGCTCAAACTAGAATGTCATGAATCCTACAGAATTTGACGTTCATGCTCAAACATTCAATAATCAGAGTAATGTGAGAGCTGCAACTCTTGAACGAGTTATAAGGCAGAAAAGAACAAGACATTCAAAAAAATGTCACTTCATCACATCTAAAGTGCAACGACATACAACAGAAGCTCAAACTAGAATGTCATGAATCCAGTAGCAGAGAACGACTTTCATGCTCAGACATTCAATAATCAGAGTAATGTGAGAGCTGCAATACCTCCTGAATAGCCACTAAGGCTTCTGCTTGCCAACGTGCAATGCTTGGTGCGTAGAAGGTGCTAATCTCTCTTACCTGTGACATTAGAGAATATGTGGTTCAAATATTTGACCATTAAGACCTTCACGCTCTATGACAGCACTTCAGTTTTTTTATTTTTTTTTATGTTTTATTTAAAATTCTAAATATCTTTAAATCTTTTCTTTATCATCCCAACATAGCACATTTATGCTAAACAAACCTAACCGTAAAGAAGTATCAGTGACATACAGGATTATTAATTTTCCAGTGGATTTCTCATCCATTTTTCAACTAGTCATGTATACAACATCATTGGGAAAAATTGTGACCATCTTCAATTACCTACACCATAGATGCAGTCTTCCTTTTTATATTATCCATCTACATCATACACAAATAGACACTTCAATAATATCATGCATACGCCACATAGAAATTTTAAGAGATTCCTGATTTACGAGTTATTTGATAAACTAGATTACACATAATCCAAGGACAGACAAGTCCTCAGCCAGTAGTGTCACCCTAAACATTTCCATGAATAGATTATGTCACGACGTCTATGAGACACACAAATTAACCAGAAAAACGCAGTGAGTAAACCAGACATTCAATCTTCAGTCCTTAAGACAATACAATTGACAAAAAGGTCGACCCCGAGTTAGCCCTTGTAACATAATTTAAATCAAGAGTATTCATATATCCACAAGTCACTAACCAAGATATGTGAAATTGGTGTTAAAACCTAGAGTGTATGCATAGGTGTGAAATATTACAGCTCTAATGAATGGAGCAGCAGGAATAAGAAGCTTCCAAGATTTCTGATATATCCGAATCTCACGTAAAGCCTTTGTTCCTGGCCTGTTCCGCCGCTTTTTCCGTGCTTGGTTTTCACTCGTATCTGAAGGCATAATACACACAGAGCAAGAGAGCATAAATGAAAACAGTAAAACCCAGAAGCAAACTTACTAAAAATAGAGCATTTTCAAATATCTACAACTCATTATTACCAACATTAAAATTTGAATCAATAACTAAACAAAATAAAACTGGGAAGGCCAGAAAAAACTAAACTCACGTGGTGAAGCAGTTGTTTTACGACTTCTTCTGGCAGATTGCTGCTACAGAATTGCAAAACTTTAGAAACTGAACAAGGTAACCAAAATTGCCCTTTACCGAAAAAAAAAAATCAAATTAAACCAAATCAAATGAACAAATAACTAAGCCACAAAGGCTGAAACTAAGAAAACTATCTAGCCTGAGGACTGGAAGTTGATGGAGTGCCTCCTGCAACTAAAATTATAAACAAAGGGGAGGAAAATTAGGGTTCCGAAAATGCAGAAATAAATGACTTGTTTTGCAAGAAGAATTCGCTTACATAGGCGCTTCCGCCCACGGGTTTTCCTAGCTGCTTGTTTGATTCTTGCCATTAACAATGAACTTTTTAATTTTTCTTCGGATTTTTGGTATGAGAGTACTAACTAGTATGAGGTTTTTAACTTCAAGCTTTTCCCGCTCCTCCAGTTATGTATTTATTAGTTTTCTTATATTGTAAGTAGCACAGAATAAATATCGCAAAGCGAGGTGAAGCGAGTTCTGTTTTATCGATGGTTTTGAATGGGGGTGGGATTTTATACCGAGAACCGGATAATCGAATCCGGTTATTTGAAAAAAAAAAAAAATCGGTTAAGGTTATTTTCGTTTATTTCGGTTTCGGTTCCCAGTTCATTTCCAAGTGTACGTGTATTAACCAATGAACCGACTATATATGTGAAATAGCGATGTTTTATATGTTTATATGTGTGAATCGGTTTTCTCGGTTTCTCATGACATTCTTAGTTCGTGAGTTACAATTTTTTGACCAGTTCTTAACTCAAAAGCAGCTAGTGTCGGTTATTTTTTTATTATTCGGTTATTGGAAAAATCGAACCGTTATAAACAGGTTCGGTTCTTTTTCAATTCCTGCAATTGTTTGTGTTGACCAAAACCCCCTTTTTTTTTTCAGTACCGGTTCTGGTTCCTCAAAAATATGATAAGAACATGACATGTCTCAGGCCTAGTTCTGAAATCTGAACCGGTCATCGAACCAGTGAAGCTACTGGTTCAATGATTCACTGTTCGGACCAGCAGTTGAACCGATTTAATTAATATATAATTTTTTATTTACTTTATATGTATAATATATAATTATATATATTTTCATCATTAATTTTATAATGTATGTCATTTCTCTAAATATAGCTCCATTATAAATACAGCCGACAACGTTAAAAATGTTGTTAACTTTTTTACTTTATTTTATTTTTATATTTAAAATTTTAATCTATATTTGTTATTTAAGTTACGAAGTAGAGAGTATAGAAACAACTCAATCTTCATTTAAATCACATTTTATATTTTTTATTATTGATTGAAAAAATAAAAACCATAAAACAATGTGCATAACAACAACAATAAGTTTCTTCTCTTTTCTAAAAAAATAAATAAATTAGGAATAGATATATCCCACAGATACTCCACTTCAAAAACAATACATTTTCTAATGAGTATAATTGTGATTGTTAGGCCCAATATTGGTCCAATAATTTCAACAAGAAAACTATCCCGCATAGGAAACACAAGTATAAAAGGTGTGTAATTTAAATCACTTCACAATCAACCAATTTCAAATTCGTAAGTTTGAGCCGGTGAACCACTCGAACTGGTCCCGCTTCACCGGTTCAATCGGTTTCGGATTGGTTCGAACAGTTCTTGGTCGGTTTTCATACTTGGCGGTTTAATGGCTCAAACCGGACAGGAATGAAGGTCAGTTCCTGGTCCAACAGGTTGAATCGCCGGTCTAGTTTTCAGAACCATGGTTTTTTAATATTTTCATTTAATGTATTACTATTACAGAGCTTGTAATACGCACGGGGCAGAGATGTCAAATGGATTGTTTCCATAAGTCATATCCATTTAAGTCTAGAAAAGAATAAAGTCTAATTATCTATCTTCCACATCTTTTAATCACTTTGTTTTACGTTAAACATGGGTCTGTTAGGACTAGTTTGTAAATTAATGAATACATTTATCTTCCTAACCCGTTTATACGAACATAAATTTGATTTTAGCATATATAAATATATATATATATATATAGAAGGGATCAAATGAGAAGGGAAGATAGTGAAAGAAATGAGAATAAATCTGGATCATTAGATATATCATATCAATGGTTAGGATTAAGTCAAATTTGATCAATAATTAATGGCAACATGGTAATTTAACATACATATTGTGGTCAAATATACATGTTTGCCCCCTTAGTAAGGGTAAAAAGGACAATACACAACAAATTATAACTCATCTCATACAATGGGGCCCACATAAACTCACCCTCAACATTTTCTCACACACATTCTCTCTCACCTAATAATTTCAACCTCACGCAGGTCAGTCCACGGCAATCGTCCGATGCCAACTGCCACCATCTGCCAACTGCCGCCGGCGCAGCCATAATCTTCACATTTTTCGTCGTATCCATCTCTCTCTCACGCAATCTATATGTATATTTATATCTCTCAATCTACCTGCAGGCTCGTGTTCATTTTGTTTTTTTTTTTTGTTTTGTTTTTTCAGAGAATGTCGTCGCCGACCTATCTTCTCCGGTGAACTCAAATCATGTTTTTCGCTAATAACCACATTAATTTTTCGTCAATTTCCTGTCTCGGATAACTCAAAGATGAGCGATATCTCGTCTCTTCTCTGGAATCTCAGATCATTATTGATATTGACAACAAGGACATCAAAGTGAGTGCAGAGGAATGTGGTCGCTGCTTGGTGGGAAAAGTAATTGGCAACCGCCAGCCATCTCTGCTAGGGCTCAAAAGAACTATTGCGATAATTTAGAGAATCCAGCACGGGGTGGAGATTCGTGAGTTTTCAGCTAACTTCTTTCAATTCATATTTGAGAATAGAGGCGATCTGCAAAGCGTTGTCATGGGTACCAATTGGATATATGAAAACCAATACCTGGTGTTGCAAGAGTGGAGGAAAGGCATTAAAGAGAGGTGACAGTTACTTTTAGACAGTTAATCTCTGGGTTCAGGTCTTCAACTTACCATTGGATTGGCTGAGTCTGGATGTTGGCCTCAAGATAGGGAAAGTATTCAAATCTGTTAAAAATGTGGGAATCACAAATGTTATTGGCACTGAAGGAAGAATCATCAGAATGCTTGTATCAGTGGATCTGGAGAAAACCATACCTCGATGCACTTCTCTCAGGTTAGGAGACCAGATTGTTACTGTGAGCTTTAAGTATGAAAGCCTTATCAACCTGTGTTGATATTGTGGCATGATCGGCCATCTTGACAGAGATTGTCAGAGCATGTTGAAGGATATTACAAAAGGGAAAATTGAAAGTGGGCCAGTATGGGAGTTGGTTAATAACAGTGGAAATTAGACCAACTATATCTGGAGGGCAGAGCAGTTGTTAAAGGAACAGATATTCCAACTGAGTCTGATAAGACTCCTTCAACTCCCATCAACACAGCAAATTATGAAGGTTGTGCTTATTGACAAAGTGATGGATGTGTCCTCTATTCCAATAGCAACCCCTAAAATCTTAAGCATAGTGCAATCCAGCTCTTCAAAACATGATGTAACCAGTGGCCAGGAGAGTGCAGACAAAGTGGATCAAACTCCTGCTCATACAGTCCAAGTCCTTACTAACCATGAGAAGATGGATTTCACTGTTGCTGAGGAAAGGAAGATACATGACTCCCCAGGCATACATAAGGCCATTGCTCCCAGTATGGAATCTTCTCTTGACCCTACTCCTTTAGCTCTAACTGGACCTAAACTTAGAACTTGGAAGAGGAATAACACTAAAGAGGGCAGACTCCAGAGAAACCAGAAAGAAAATCTCAATTCTCAGCTGCAGAGTCTCAAAAGGGGTAGACAAGGGGGTACAACTCTGATAACTGTGAATGAAGAAGCACAATGTGTGGAGACAAAACCCAAAAGATCCAAAGTCAACTCTGACCAGGTGGAGAAGGCCAGCCTCAAATGGCCCTAATGTGACCAATGAGAGCTGTGGTGTGGAATTGTAGAGGCCTGGGTGTGGTCTATACAATTCCCCAACTCAAGGAGCCCTTAAGGACCCACCATCCACATTTTTTTTTGTCTGAAACAAAAAACACAAATAAGTTTACAATGACAGTTTGCAAGAAGCTGGGGTACGCAGATAGATGCAGATTGGTAGAACCTAGAGGGCTAAGTGGTGGCCTCCTATTGGCATGGAACCATGAGGTGGAAGTGAAGCATGTGATTTGTGAACCCTACTGTATTGAAGTTGAGTTCAGAATGCAGAGCCATGAGCAGTTTAGATGGATTGTGTTTGTCTATTTAAGCACAAACAGAAACTCCAGAGAATTACAATGGAGAGAGCTAGAAATCTAGAAAGATTACTGGGGGAATAATGGAGCATAGTAGGGGAATGGAATGATCTGGCTAAATCAGAGGATAAGAGAGGAGAAAAACCAAGACCCCAAGCCAGCCTCTTGAACTTTCAATCATTTTTGGCAAACATGGGTATGACTAGGTTCTTCACAAAGGCTACCCCTTTACTTAGGATAACAACAGAGCAGATGAAGATTTTGTAGAATAATCTTTGGATAAGGGTTATGCTTCTTTGGATTTGCTCAGCAAATTCCCTCTCACCCAGACAACCTCAATCTTCAAGAGCTCATCTGATCATTACATGCTACTTTTTGAAGATGAACCCATCTCAGGAAACAGAAGGTTTCAATTTGACAAGAGATGGTTGAGTAAAGAAGGACTTGATTCAGTAGTCCATTTTGATAAGAGATGGTTGAGTAAATAAGGACTTTATTCAGTAGTCCAAAGAGCCTGGGAGGATCATTAAGTAGGCACTCCTCTTTTCAGCCTCAAAGAGAAGATCATAAAGTCCAGGATTGCCCTCCTCCATTGGAGAAAATATTTCAGAACAAACCAGAAGGCACAAATGGAGAGTTTAACAATGAGGCTAGAGGAGATGAGAGAAGCAAGAGGTTAAAGAAATTGGTAAGAATGGGACAAACTGCAGAGGGAGCTTGATAATGCAAACCAAACATAGGCGCTATTCTGGAAAAAAAAAAAGCCAAAACTCAATGGCATCAAGAAGGAGATCAAAACACTCATTTTTTCCATGCTTGGGTGGTTCAGAGGAGGAAGCATAATGCAATTAGCAGACTAGTTGTTGATCAACAGAGAATCTATGAGACAAAAGAGGAAATTGAGTCCCAAGTTGAAGACTTCTATAGCAACCTCTTCTCATCTGAAGGCTCCTATGGAGGGGAAAGTCTCCTTCAAAATGTTCCCCAGACAATAACAGATGAATTCAATGCAGTGCTTTTGGCACCAGTTGAGGTAGAAGAAATCAAACTGGCTC